AACGAATCGCGAGGCTCCGCTTTTTGCGTCGGCGGTCCTCGCTTGGTGGGTTTCTTTTTGCTGCGCCGGGGTTTTCCCACGTGGACCACCGCGAGATCTAGATCCGGTCAGCATCTGAGCAGTATGACGGGTATTATTCCACGAAGGAAATAATACCGGGGAGGATTGATGTCACGCAAGGAAACAATCGTCCAAGCTCGGGAATCTAGACCAAGCTTAGATCGCGGAGTATTGTATCGCGTAGATCTGAGATCCGGTCTCTCGAACAGCATCTGCGCTTTTTTGGCGTTGACGATCGCTGAGTACCATATCTGGATGAGCAAGTCCCAAAGTCCAAAGCTTAATCTTGTTAAGTTCTGAGTCTTGAGTCAGCAGGGCTTCGCCTTCCAAAATTTCAACCTCCAAAAATGAAACCAAGGCCTAGCCTATTTCATAGCACTCGATCTGTGCTTAGGCACAGATCTGGCGGCCACCTCCAGGGTGGCGGCTCTGGGAGCCGAGCCAACCTTGATGTGGCTCAGCCACCGAGCCACCACCCCAAGGTGGCTCGGCCATGGCCGAGCATTGACCCCACAGGTGGCCGCCACGAGCCACCGCCAAGGTGGGCTTCGGCTTGGGCCGAGCACCATTGAGGTGTCGGCTTGGGCCGAGCCACCTGACTGAAGTTGGCGTCGGCTTCGGCCGACCCCTCTACGGTGGTGGTTTTGGTGTTTTTCCCGGCTTTTTCGGTTCTGTCCGTGATTTGATTAACTTAGTCTTGTTGATTGGTTTGATCTGATTCGGCAGTCCAAATGCGATACCGATAGGACAGTAATCCGCTTCTGAGTTCGAGTCCGAATTGATCTTGATTTCGATCGTATTCGTCCGAGGTTCCCTTGGGTGTTGGATTGACTCGTTGACTCTTCGAACACTTGGCATTGATCCAGCACCGAATGGACGTAATTTTCGTTACTTGCGGTGCGATTCTCGCATCTCCGTCGCCATCGTTGGTTCGTCGGGTTTGTGGCCGAGTCTGTGCTACAGGGACCTATAAAGG